CCATGAGAACCATAGAACTACCGAGAACTACACAATTACCATGGCTAAGAGTATGTGACTATGTAAGTGACTATGTGAGGTCCAAGAGTATAAAAACAATGAGAACTAGAGAACAACTGAGAACTACACAATTACCGTGACTAAGAGTTATGATAGTAAGCAACTCATGACGTCAGCTGTGGCTATTACACAAGAGATCAGCTATCTGATGCTTATCCTCTCTATTGACGTCAGTTTTTCAATATTTATAGTCCTTGATCCTATATTTTTCTTTTAGGGCAATCTACATCTAAAGGAGGGATGCTGCAGTTTGCGAATTCTTACATATTATTCTTCACTTAGTTTTGTTCATCAATGTTTGTGTTTAATCTTGCGCCTTCGCGGCATTTCTCTGCTTTTAACAATACTTTCCAGGCTTCTCTCTACGTTGAGGCATTCTAGCCATTCCACAAGCCTTTGATACAGATTATGTAGGCAGCAGGAAATGCTCTCACCAAAAATTCCCCGATTTTCGATGAGTTACGGTTCTTTATAAAGGGTATGTCAGCAATTCGCCTGGCAGTAGTGAGCTTGCTCATCTCAGATTTGTTTGGCACACTTCTTGGTCATTATCCAAAAAGACAACGGTTCTTTGGAATGCGCGCGTGTTGTTATTTATCTCGAGAAGTTTTAACTTAAAGACCTATGTGCTCACTGCACTCAAACGGACCTCGATGACACAAAACCACCCTTGTTTAACGGCTCTCCATGTCACCTTGGCTTGTCGTTGTGGGACATTTACATTAAAAGCTAAAAAATTTTGGGATCATTAACCACAAACACGCTAAGCCAACCTTTTTATTTTGTTCAACTGTACTTTCAATAGATGAAACTCGTAAGGTACCCTTTTTTCCAGCAAATGTTGTCCGCACATAGACAAATTCACATTTGCAGAATGGAGACTCAATTCTTTGGAGAGGAAATGTGACCCTGGGTACCTGCAACTGTCATTTTGCGGGTCAATTGTGATCAGATCAGTTTTAATTTTTATTTATGAATACACAGCTGATTGTCCAGGCAATGCAAATTTCCTATTAAGGTCCACAAGTTTATAATTATAGTTTATTCATCAGTTGGTCTTTGGTGATTTCGCCAAAAAGCAAATTTTGCTTGGACCCAATCACTTTGCTGCTATATTCACGGTAAGATTCGCTATGTCTCATAATCATTTTAAGGTATGGTATGGTTTTGTTACCATTGTGATAGTTTTTGTCTTTCTGCAGTGCAGCGAAAAAAACTTCTATGAGAGAAATCTCTAAAACAAAAAGGCTTAACACGACGTTTATGGCAAATGACCAACAACATTTGGGTCATTTGTCAGGCAGAAGTTGTTTTTAACTGTCGGACTATATTTACGTTGCTTGGAAACAAGTGATTATGGAGTGACTTTCTAATCTTTTGTTGGGAGTAAGAGAAGAAAGGTTTAAATATTGATGCCAGGAAAACCAGAATTCTTCTTTGACATTTGCCATAACAGTTGACCTTTTACTTTGAAGCCCATCGATAATGGTGAAGCCTGAAACTCTGACTTGTGGGCATTAGGCTGTCATCACTGCCTCGTGACACTCGTAGGCATCGAGAATGTCCTCAAACATCCACTTTGCAAAGCAGTGATCAGGACAGGTGCTGCTCTTCAACATAGCACTCGAGGACATCATCGGAAACTTTAATGTTAATTGTAAAAATAGCAGTTGTCTGTGGACAGGAAAGTGTAGCAAATGCAGTGTGCAAATGAAAGTGTAGTAAATGCAGTGTACAAATGAAGAGTGCAGAGAGGTAGTAGCAAGGTAGGGGATGGCACACATCTCCCAATGTGCAAAGCAGAAAGTCCCTTGCCAGGAATGCAGAAGGAAGGTGCAAGAGGAACGTTTTGAAGAGCATGCTGCTTCCCTTTGATCGAATAAGACAATTACCTGTCCATTAAGGTGGGGAACAAGCCTTCCATGGTAAGCTATTGTCACCTAAATAAATAAATCAACAGTCAAATGGTTATTTAAGGTCAACAAGAATATTGAAAGGTAGGGTTGTCAGCTCTCTTCTAGTCCCCACTTTATTTCTTTAACAGGCTCTACTAGTAGATATAAAAGGGAGATTCTGGCGCATTTTGAAAAATATCCTTGATTTTAAGGCAACTTATGAATTTTTTAACCTCTAAATCAACGTTGATTTCAACCTTGATTTCAAAAACACATTTCTGGCACATTTTTAAAAACAACCTTGATTTCAAGGCAACTTGAATTTTTCTCATGTGAATAAATTCACAGTGTCTCACTCGTTAGTCCTGAGAAGGGTGCAAATACTATTCCCTTGAACGATAGGGTGTTACTTCAGGAGGAACGATCTGAAACTCTTCTCTGATGAAACCACACTTTGATCTATCTTTCAGGGAGTAAAGAACAGGCTCGCCTTTATCCACAAGTGATTTTTCAATATTGAAGACCTTCAGAGACCAGATTGGATCTGTGGCTCTTTTTTGTCCACCTTCCCGTTCACCAGCGACATAGAGATATCTCACATTCCTTGAGGAGTCGCTTTGCTTTTCCTTCAGGCTAACTGGTCTTGAATTAATTGTTGTCAACCACCTTCTCTCTGATTGCATCTACAGGTTTATTTCCAGTTAATCTTGTCTCTTTACTATTCAAAGCCAATACAACTTCTGGAAGCCTCTTCACCCATTCGGTTGATCGCTTTCCCTCTTTGAAGTTCATCTCTTAACTTTATTGAAAAGTGAAGAGGCATTCATAAGAAACGACTGGTGGCCAATCCCAAAGCCAAAGGCATTCATCCGACGTAGATCATCTCACCTTGCTTTTGTTGAACACTAGGCTTGTAGAAGTTGGAATGCTGTAGTTCCCTCAGATCAAGCTCTTAATTATGTCCCCTGTTGTACATCTCCAAATCATTATGTTTCCACAAAATTCTGTTTTGTCTGCTCCTTGACTCTGTCATTAGTTGCGACCCAATCAAGAAGCTTGGTTTGATTTTCTTGATTCTCTTCATAGGCTGCTTGGTACTTCTCCACAGCTAGATCATGCCTCTTTTCTTCTTTGACACTATTCTGGTCTCCATTCAAATACAAATAAATACAAAGGCCGCATCGATGAGCGCTCCCCCAATCATTACTTCTATGCGTGCCATTTTATTTATCTGCATCATTGTTTTAAAAAATCGACAAGTATTAATAATAAAACTTTTGACAAAGTTCTACCTCTTCAAGGTCTAAATTCTTTGCTTCTGCCTCTATATGACTAAAAGAGAATATTAAATATTAAGAATATTAATATCAATGATTGTGCAGACTGCTGCTAAGTTAACTGCTTTCATTGTAAATCAGCTGAACATTTTTAAGATGGTAAAATCTTTTCATCTTTAAGATACTGTTTTTTGCCACGATTGACGAAGCAATCATGACAGTGAACTTCACATAGTTCATTACATTTGAAATTGGATCAGAAGTCATCGGTTCTTCGATGGCTTTCTTTGCAACCCATCCAATTCCGGCAGCCAACCCAGTCAATGTAGCTGACAGGAAAAAAGTATCACTCCATTGGCTTTACTCTAACAGGAAGCCTCAAAGGGGTAAGCCCTGAAGGCCAAACGCTGATTCCCTTATGGCTTGTGCTGAATGCTAAATTTACGAGTTCATTTGTCCTCTGCTTCACATCTCTCAAAGCAGTGCAATCATTTAGAATGATCATTTTATATGGTATTTGTTCCCTCATAAACATAACTGATAATCTCGAGCCAATTATCAATCTGGCTTTGGAGTGGAATTAAGATAGGTAGGTCTCTATCATTTTCTGCGAAGCCATCATACGTCTTGCTGTGGATGAATGTGGATAGAGGACAACCATGTAATCGAATTTTGTTCTCTTTTGTTGTCTTTCCTGAGTTTGTTGGTCCAACTGTTCATGCATTAAATGGAATGTTATCAGGATTCATATTTTTTGATTAATTTAATTGATAAGCCCTTCAAGCCGAGCCTTATGGCAGACCCCAAAGGGACGAGCCGCAGAGCAGTAGTGACCATAAGCAAAAGTTGATATCTTTTCTACTCTTATTATTCTCTTATCATCTTTAGCACTCAAAGCTATCTTGTTGCTGGTCTCAGTTCATTTTCCTCGTTTGCATGTTTTCCGCTGAATAAGCATTCCTTGTAGTCATCGTGATTTACATTCTACTTTATTACAGCCTTCTTAATCCCTTTTCACTTGTTCTCCTCTTTTGGCCCACAGAGCCTTGCTTCGCTTCCCACAAACATCTTGTAGCTGTAGAGTTTTTTTCTCCAACGAACTCTTCAATGATCTTCCCACCAGCTTCATCTTTCATCATTCCCATAACCTTCTTGGGGAAGTTGCTTGTGTCGAACCTTACTTCGAGATCACTGCTTATATTGCATACATCTGCAGAAGTCTTCACTTGCAATCTCATGGGCAAGACTGTCAGTCTCTGTGAAGAGAAATTTTACACGATCTCCCTACTCCTTCTTGATTTAGTTATCGTGGAAGTCATACATCAGAGTCATGCTGATATCGAGGATGCTCATTCGACCGCCCATTCTCAAAAGACGGACTTATTAAATGCCAGTTTAGTTCGCTTCATGTGGATTGCAACAAGGTCTTCCTCAATTATCATGCAATGCTTGAACTTTGCTTTTGCTCTGAGTTACGATGCTTTCTTCAGGTTGTTGACTAGCCTCACATCCACACGATTCCTGATATTTTTTCATAGTTTTTCCAGACACAGAGTTGTTCATCTGGAAGAGATCTTTATCGAATTCATTTGTTGCTTTCGCGCGCAGCTTAGTGTTGGGCTCAAAGTAACCTCTCATCCAAGGATTTTTAATGAAACCGATTCCTTTACGAATCTTTTTTATCCTCAAGTACGAGCAGGAGAACGTCTGTCTTGAGACAAGGGTCATGGTAATCACCCATGGTCTTCATGTTAAACTCTTCTAAGCAGTTGTGTTTCTTTTCACCATCTGCTAGCTCTTTGAGCGGGGGGCTGTGAGGCACCTCATGCCAGGGACCGCTTAGGCCACTTTGCTGCCCCTGACCCAAAGAGTTTTGCAGTCTAAGCAGGTCCAAGCTGTTTTCCTTTCTAAATCTAATGAAGACCTCTTCCGACATATCTTTTGTCTCCATTTTTTTACTGTAAACCTTATTCGGGATTCCATTGACAATCACTTTCACTTCGGTGATGTCGAGATTAAGGTCCGGTTATTTGAACGAAGTTTAGACAGCGTTTATGAAAGTCGTGGTCTAACCCATGTTTAACCATGAATATTGATTATTTAAACGTTGTTCTTCCATAACTGTGTCTTAGACTTTGTCTTTCAAAATTTCTTCTCAAGCATTTGCTTTCTTTCTCAACGTTTTATTATCGTAGCCTTTACTTTCCACTTCTGGGAATTCTCTTCCAAATTCTGCCACCAAAAGCTTTTCTTCCTCACTAAAATTGGGCGTTCGACGGGATTTAGAGGCCATAATGAGTCAGAACCTCCAATATGGAAATGTGCATACAAATAACACCACAGACAATACATTTCCTCGTGAGACATTATTTAGCCATTGACAAGAAAAAAATAGTTCAAGGGCGTTTTAATAATGTGTTTTAAACATGGTTTAACCATTGTTTATCGAGACAACGTCTAAACCGCGGCTCGGCCCTAAACACGGTTTAACTTAGACTTCGTTTAAATAACCGGCCCTAAATGTCTTCTCACTGTCTCTCGCACCACCAACATTGGCTCGTAAAAAAGAAGTCCCTTTATCTACTTCCATAGAACATTGATTCTCTCACTGATGGTCGTGTCTGATCCCTTATTTTCTGAGATTGTGTTGAGATGATTGACGTTCTCGTACATGAATCTCTTTCCATTTTCGTAATCAGACAAGTTCTAGACTGTGAATGACTTCATACTCAAGCTGAATGTTAGTCAATTCATATCTAAGCTGTGTCTCGTCACGTTTCCCAACATCACATAAATGAATTTCTTTTTGTTCTTATTTCTCGTTAATTTTTTCCGACGCGTTTCGTCTCTAGCTGAGAATTCTGTCGGGAATGATTAAAACTAATATTGGACAGTATATAAACATATTCATGCGCTTCAGTTTAACTTCCCAAGGGAGTCAATAATAACTGAAACACGCTGTAAACGGATGTTACAGGAAACGCCTTAATTTTATACCGCACTATTATATTTTGGAAACCGTACGATTAGCGCTAATTGTTGCGAATCAATAAACAAAGACTTTGTTTCTTCATTATTTAATTGAGATGACTTTGTTTCTTTTTTGTTTAATTAAGATGAAATGACTGTTCAGATCAACAGATTTGATCTGGTAAATTTGCCTCTGTTAGAAATACAAAAAGCTAGCCTTCACGTTTTTGTAGTTCTGCCGTTAGCCAATTTGCCAGTCAGGTCAGTCTTTTTCCATCTATACTAATAAAGTATGCTTTCCATTTAAGTATGTTTTAAGTAACGCTCGTTTCTATCTTGCAACTTTACCACAAAACAATAGGCTGTTTTACTGAAATATCAAACTTACCTTTCACAAGTGAATAATTTAGTTGCTTTTGTTCACAATGAGGTCACACTGCGGTGTTTTATTCCTTTGTATATAACAACCGTGTGGAAAAGAAGTAACTTACATATAAGTGTGATATTCTTAGTTAGGAAGTGAGAACCTCGCAAAATCATCGAGATTTGGACCTACTTTCGCAAGCGCTGTCTGACTAAACTAAAAAAGGGAAAGAATAAAACATGGCCTTACGTCAGTATGCCGCCCTAGAGCAAGGTCCCACGGTGAATTTAATACAATGCCTCTTTAGTGCCTCTTTAATGCTTCTTTTATCGTGGGTGTGTATTGGCAAGAAGGCCCTTTAATCCTTTCCTTTCTCATCTTACGTGGTAACAACTTTTACAAATGGGGTAATATTCCAGAGTATACAAAACATGTTTCTACGTTGAAGCTGTCATCTTTAGTTCCAAATGTTTGTAGCACAATTTTCATTTTAACTTTACTGCGACGTCATTAAATTTCATATTAAGATAACGAAACGCAGTTATGTCTGCAATCGGAATTATAATATTATAGAATCTCTGAATAACAATGGGTAAAGCAATCCAAGAGTAACAAAAACAAAACCTCTTAGCGGAAAAAAAAGCTCGCAAAAAGCATTGTAAATCACTATAACAATGAAAAACGTACCCAAGCTGTTGTTTCAGAGCAGGATTTTCTTATAGAAGAGCTCCTTAATCTTAACTGATTCATGAACAAGTTAAAACTGGCCATTTCAATATGTCCAAAAATGATAAAGGGTCTTTTCTTTTCAACACTGTACAGGCGCTGCAGAGGATGCAGAAAAAGAAGAAGTGTGAGATCAAACAGTTTTCTCAAAGGGTTCCTCAGAGTGCCACTTGGTAAACTGCTGCTGACGATTTATTTTTCCTCTGCTGAAGACTCTCACCGACGAATTTCCAGGCACCTTGGTTTGAATGCAAGCTTGGTATGTAAGATTACAGAATGTCTGCTCGAGAGACCTTCAGGCCAGGCAAATCACGCCGTTTGGTGGACCTGGGGCTGTAGTTAAATGTGACGAGAGCAAATTCTACTATAAGTTAAAAATCTACCTATTTTTTAGTATATTTGTTTTTATGATTGGCCATTCAACTCCGAATATCCTTTGCTATTCATCTCCGAGAAAGTCACGCAGAATTTGCACCCAAAAGTTATTGTAATCGTTACAAGAATAAATGAGTTTTGAAAAAATAATTTTTTTGTTCTATATTATCTCACTGTCTAAGTGTATACTAGAACAACTACTTACAAAGCCTTGATCCTCTGGAACATGTTGCTCGAAAGCGAAATAGATGGGAATGACAACAAAAAGTACTCAGATCTCTCGCTTTAATATCGTAATTAGTTTATAAAGGTGAATGATAATCGCACATAGCTGGGAAAAAGCTGAGACAGACATTAAAAGGACAAACTGAAAATTATCAGCTAAATATCATTCATTTCATCATTCCAGTGCAACAGGGGAAGACGTGCGGAAAGGGACACGTGGGTTTTTGGCATAGTTACGACCCAACATTTGCCTGGACAGGGCTACTTCCCGGTAGTTGAAAGACAGGATATGGTCACACTCCATCCCATCATTTCGAGGTGTGTTCGCCCTGGAACAGAAGTGCACTCAGATGACTGGGCCTCTTACCGACAGATGGACCGAAGAATAAACAACGTAAGTGCACATCAAGTAGTTGTCCACCGACTCAACTTTGTGAACCCAGTCACTGGGGTGCGCACCCAAGGAATTGAGTCCTGCTGGAACACTTTAAAACTGGGCCAGAAAACACACTAAGGGATAAGAAGGGAAGACATGCTGTCCTACCTCGACGAGTAAATGTGGCGTCAGTGGAGAGCGGGAACCCCTCAGCAAGCCATGCAGAACTTTTTGGCCATTTTAGCCATTTTAGCCGATCGATATTTAGTTAATTATTTGGTCTTGTAAATATGCAATACTTTTTTAAGTTTCATCCGTTTTACTTTGAATTTCGGTAAAGATGAGAACGAGAAACAATCAAGCTACATCCATGACCTCGTTGAATAGATTTTTGTAGGTTAGGTCTACTGACCACACTGATCCGGAAAGATTTTCCACCAGGAGGGTTAATCAGAGGGTTAATTCATAAGGGTGTGTTTTCTTTTCTTTTCTTTAAAAACCCTTCTGAAAAGTTACAGGTACAATTTAAAGTGATATCTCAATGCAAATTGTTGAATCTGACCCTGAAGTGTTGTAGAAAAACCCGGAACGCGCGCGGGCGAAAAGAAGGGCGTCCCTATCTTGGAGCAAGAGAATCGCTAAAATGAAAAACGGTAGTGTTGTGCACCCATGTAGCGGACACGGGGTGCTGTGCACGGGAGTTCGGGGAGTGTCAACCACAGTGTAGGAATCGACAACACAAGTTGATTGAACATCGTTTAATTCTATCGTCTGAATATCAGACATGTGGTGAAAACTAAAAATGGGGTAATTGCAACGTACAAGATTAAAAAATGGGCTGAGACTAATTACAAAATAGGCGAAATCGAAAAGAAAACAAAACTAAATCCTGTCTTTAAGGGCTTAGAGAAACTGTAACTCTACGTAACTGGAACAATCTTATTTAAAAAGAAACTCTGATCTGACTCTGTCGATCTCCAAACTTTAACTGACTCGATACCTAAGGGGCATACCACTAAAGGGGTATGATTCACGCGTACAATTGTAAACTGATTTATCAGGAATGCTAGCTGAGTAATTCAAACTGTGAACAGAAGTACACTGTTTCTGGAAAATAGGGGCGTGAACTAATAGGGAAACAAAACAGAACTTTCTCTACTTTAACTCAAAACAAGGCGATTACGTAATCAGTCTTCTTCGAATGTTTATTACAGCTAGAATGGGATAATTTCTCTTTTCAACGCATTTCACCCACTTCTTAACAAAGTATTACGTAGTACTCATCATTAACCCTTCATTGGCTACATTTCCAAAGTTTCTTGGGTAATCTAATTCCGTGAAAAGTTTATCTTTGTGATGCACAGCCGAGTAAATATTCTTCACATCTCGTGTCATATAACTCGACAAGTTAAGAGCATAATTCAAGTTAAGAGCATAATTCGGTATAATTCTTAGACTTGCTGGAGGTTTTTCAAGGCCGTTAAGCGTTTTAATTGACGCAGTAGTCTTAGATGCCACATTACCCTGTGGGCTATTGAGGATTTTTGATAAATTGGCAACTTCGCTTCTGATATAATTTTCATTCCCGCGCAATAACTGAAGAGTGTCGCTGAGCAGCCCGACCGCCTCTTGAATAATAGAGAACATGAGCGCCTGGTGCTTTTCGTGACTGAGAAGATCAATTTCTCGTCCTGTTCTTGGTTCGTTTAAGTGATTATTCCCGAATCCCGCTCCTCAAAATCGCCGATTCTCGTGTCCCATTCATACGCATCTCACTCCCTTCTTACTTTAAATTCCCGCTTCTCGGCCTCTAAATAAGCCCAATCCCGGATCCCGAAAAACCTATTCAAGACCCTCAACTTTCATGAGAACCAATTTTCCAGAGAGATCATTAACATTATTTACAGTTCCAAGGAAAGCATTGACACTTATGTTAACATGTAGTTTCGACAGTAATAGTCATTAAAGTACCGACATACAGGTGTTTGATAAAAGGCAAAGTAACAAGCAAAATGTAGCAGTTGAAATACTAGAACGAAAGAACTTGAATAAATCGGAAATGGTTGACATGAAAATTTTATGCGTAAAAGTGTTCCAAACAAACACAGGGAAATATCAGTAAATTTCCCGTGACAGTTAGTGGCTTTCTGAGAATCGCCCAAGACGGGAAACATCACCCATTACTGCGTGATGTGCTTCCAAATAACAACATAGCAAATTGGTACAAAGAACGTCTATCATCATAATTTTAATCAAGCTAGCCTACTTAGTACAAGTACTAGAACATCTGCAGACATGTCATGCTGGTTAAGTTCCATATTACAAGTAAAAGTATAGTTTGTCACGATTGGTACTTTACCTGTTACTTAATAAGTTAGATCAGTTGCTCTATTGCTCAGCTTGCTAGCACACAAACTGCATTTTCCTTCTTAGAAGCTAGTTTTCTTTCCTCCCATCTTCCCAGTGCCTCATTTTGCTGGTCTTAGTATGTGCTCGGGGGCTTACTGTAATCTGTGACACGTGCATCTTTTTATGGCGGGAAAAATATTGTGCG